GCACTGTTTATATAACTTATTATGTGAAAATATGCATAAAACAGCCAGATAGATTATTCAGTAGAGCTAAGGAACAGTATTCTGAGGGTCCCAGGTTTGAATCCCTGTCAGGCTGTACTGTGATTTCTCTCACCCTGTAAGAACCTTAAAAAAAATTAAGTTGGAATTATGAGTTTTAAGTTTTGTTTTTTGTACAATGTCATATGTAAGTACAGGGTCTTTCAAATAGAATTTGAAAGACCCTGGTAAGTAGAATATGGAAAGACTCTATTTAATGTACACGCTAAAATTATTTGTTGAAAAATTGTCTTTAATACAGGAACAAAGGGAGATTATACTTGCTCTTTTATGTGAGATCCATACATGTGAACTCTCCTACTTTTAGTGGGAAACTCCCACTTTCTGCAGCCATATTTTCAAAGATTTTTCTTAAAATAAGGGGTATTTTCACAAACTAAACAGGGTTCGTATAGTTTTAAAAAGTGCTTTAGTTTGAGTCTCTTTCTTAAAAAGTGCTTAAAAATGTAAAAAAGTGCTTAAAAGTCCTTGAATTTGATTACTCCCTTGAAAAGTGCTTAAAAAGTGCTTAAATTTGCTAAAAATGTGCTTGAAAATGTTTGAATCACAGAATGACATAGTTTTGATAAAAATCAATTGTTAACAAAATAAAAAAAAGATCCAATTTAGTATCAAAAATCAATGAATTGTTTACTCAAGGTAACAGTAAGTAGACAAATTGCAGTTGTTTTGAACTAATCTGTACTTGATGCACCCTTAGTTGTTCTTCTATAATGTTAGAAAATGTGTATTTAACAAAAAATGGTGAACAAACTATCCATCATAGGTTGAAGATTGTGTCGGTATATGTGCAACAAATGTGCTTGAAAAATGGGAAAATGTGCTTAAGAAGTGCTTAAAAAGTCCTCGAATTTTGGCATTGGATGTCTGTATGAACCCTGCTAAATAAATCTCCCTATTTTTGATGTCAGAACTTTCTTCTTTGCTTGTTACAAATTCTAAAATCTCCCTCTTTTTGAAGAAAAATCTCCCACTTGATCATCGAAAAAAAGTTCGCATGTACAGAGAAACTCTTTTTCCTTTAAGTCTTATAGGAGAGGTGATACCGCACTCAGTTCCTCGTCGTCATCCTCAAAGTTGTCAGGTGGACGGACATTTCTACAACGTTGAAAAAAAGCGCCAGTTAGCGACATTGCTTTCTTGCAGTTTTTATAATCGTATACTTCCACAGCCTTTTGCATCTCTAATAACTGGTCCCTCATTTTCTCAAGTTCTCCTAAGAGATGAGTTTTTTTGTACTATCGTTGTCAAAGTTTTCTTTCTGTTTCATTAATTTTGGAAAAGTGGAGGCTTTTTTGTGAATACACATGTCATTCAGTACATCTATCAAACATTGACCTATTTCTTCCGTGTCAGGTTCTGCACACTTATAGTGATGAAAAATCATCATTGTTTTTATCATATATGATGAGTATAGCTTTATATTTGACGTAGTAAGTATCTTCCCGTGCTCCTCATTATTTCCATTTATTAGATATTTAAGAAGACGGTACACGATTTTATGATTTTGTGAAAGAACATCTCGCATGACGTGAACTTCTGTTTCTGTGAATGTGATACTGTCATGTACCATGAGAATGCTTCCAGTTTGTAATATTTCTTCTCGGAATGGTTCTAGAGGACAATATTTATCCACGATCTGTCTTAGATTTTTATCTTTTATAACAATTGTCGGGACCACATCTACATTAATATCTTTTCTTTCACCAGATTCGTTTTCATATATGAAATTCATTGTCATAGCAGGACGAGATTTTCCACAATACCTATCAAAGTAAATTTTTCTTGCTCCATCTTTAGAAGAAATACTTATGTTATTCTTATCTTCTCTTTTCTCAAAGTAATCAGCGCATCTTGTAATTAGTTCACTTGTCCAGGCAATTATTCGTACAAGATGTTCTTTAAGCTTGCTATATGGATCCATGCAATTTGATTCTTCGCAATTATAAAGCACACAAATGATATCAAACTCATCTGGAAAATTATTTTTTGTACCTTCGTAAAAACTGCCCACTTTGAGTATGTCTCCCTCCCTTTTAGATATTTCCCCGCCATCTGAATTAAACAATACTATGTCTTCTTCAATAAATGTCCAAATTGGGTCATCTTCTAAAACTTTTTGCACGAGTTTCAACACTATTGACTCTATACCATTCTGAATAAAAGCCGTTTCTTGCAAATCAATTTTGAATTTACATTCACTTTCAAAAACATCTTTCAAATAAAGTTCAAGATTATTCCTCTTTTCCGCCATATTTTATTATACAGCACATGTTTACAGTCCATTCACATCATGTTTTAGGATTACCGAGAAATTTCAAGCATCATATGATATATAAACGCTCAATTTCCTGTGGTTTTAAATGTACAATGTTTATTTTATGCACAAGCTACATTCTCGTCTGTACATTCTCATCTGTCAATTGGGAAAAAAACAATAAAACTCCAGCATAAATGTCCTTACTTACACCATAAAAAACAAACAAACAACAAAACATTTCACATTTATACAAATGATTTAGACAAGGTTTATAAACATAATTTATAATGGCTGTTCTAATTATAGAATAACTGCTGCAGAGATTGTTGCAGTCTATTTTACATATGAATAATTGGAGAAATGGATGGTTTAATGCAAGCGTTAAATTTTGATATACGGTAATGATCATAAATGTCTCTTTTTATAAATTTTGACAATTTCTGAAATTTTCAAAACCATAATCAGGTTCTTGAAATGTTCAAGAATTAAATTTTGTTAAAGAGATAGTTCATGAACTTTGAAAGATGGATATTGTGTTCATAATTCTAAGCAAACTTCTTTAAAGGTTCATGAAGTTCATGAACCATATACCCTAAACCCTTATGCTTTATCCCCCCACATTTTTATCCCCCCACATTTTTATCCCCCCCCCACATTTTTATCACCCCACATTTTTTATCCTCCCCACATTTTTACCCCCCCCACCCACATTTTTATCCCCCCATTTTTCTTTCTCCCCACATGCTTTATCCCTTCCACATTTTTATCCCCCCCCCACATTTTTATCCCCCCCCCCAATTTTTTTCTCCCCACATGCTTTATCCCCCCAGATTTTTTCTCCCCACATGCTTTATCCCCCCACATTTTTACCCCCCCCCACATTTTTATCCCCCCCCAATTTTTTTCTCCCCACATGCTTTATCCCCCCAGATTTTTTTCACCCCACATGCTTTATCCCCCCACATTTTTTCTCGCCACTTTCTTAGCCTCTCCTTAACCCCCTTTAATTCACCTTACCACTGATTATTACTGTACTGTCACTTGATTTAACGCCCCGGCGCTAATAAAAATTATAAATATGTGCTTTATAAAACATGATAATCAAATAAATAATTCAATTATAAAAATCATTATTTATTATTATAATCTAATATATAACACAAGATTATAGTTCTCTAATGATTTGACATAACGTGGGTGTCATTTATTGTTGTTTTTAAATAAAAAATATTTGGATGTTTTGGATTGCTCTGAAATGGATAATGAATGTATAAGAGTTTTTTTCCTACAAAATGTGGTTGGGGTGCTAACATAAGTAATAAGAGAGGGTGGGTGCGTTAATTGGAAACAATGTGGTGTGTATTTGAAAATTTACGCATGCAAACTTCAATTCTTATTAAAACATATTTCAAGGTCACAGTTATAAAATTTAACTGCTATCAGTCTGGTTGGGAGTCTGCTGCCTCTGACATTTACAACAGGTGTTGTTTTGAAACACATGCAAAGTTATTGTTACAGCTGGAAGTCGTTTTTTCTTTCTTTTTCAATAGGGGAGATTACTAAGTCTTTTAAAGTGTACTGAAAATCACAAATTTTTTCATATACACTTAACTTTTTCTTAAAACAAAAGATGATTTTTAAACATATATTAAATATTCCAATGTATTTCTATTTCAAAATCCGTACAAAAATTTTGTAAACTGCTGCAGCAGAGATATTCACATCATTTGAGAGCTCATGATTGTCAAAAAATATCATGAATTTATTTAAGCTGAGGATTGTCAAAAAATATTCATGAATTTATTTAAGCTGAGGATTGTCGAAAAATAGTAATGAATTTACTTTTGGTACCAGCAAGTTAAAGTTTAATTTCATAATTAAGTTTTTTGTATAATTGAGGCAATAATTGTATTCTCAATAGTGATTGGTCATATAGTTTAGATGTGAGATATTCCCTCAGAATATTATGAAAGTTTTGTTCAGTATTTTAAAGATGGTTGGCAGTAATATTATTGCTCATTCATAAGGTACATGTACTTATTTTTTTATAGTCCTACTTTCTGGTGTCTAAAATAATACATGTGGATCACATATAACTAATCTTAAAAAATTGCGCAAATGTAAAACTGGAAAGTTATTTGACCTTTACAAGTGTCAATATGACCGAAATATCTATAGAAAATATAAATGTTTAAATGCTTTTAAAAAACGATAATGTTTCAAAACAACTCTTTGCAGTCAGACAATTTTTGACTTTTCCATTAAAATATTTTGCCGTAGCTAAATTGCCTTTTAGAAGTAGTTTTAAACAGATATCGTAGGTTTTAAAAAAAATGAATCACCGTTGATATATAATTTATATACTTTGGGGTAGATATCTATGCGATTTTAATTGAATGAGTAACAGGTACGGCGATGCACCAACCTAATATTATCCTTTCAAACCACGGAGGTAGCCCGGGGCGAGAAAGATCGACTATAATACGAAAATGACGATCAATTACTCTACACGGATAATCGCCCCAATGGTACTATGTACCTACAAATACTGTTAAATATTTCACTATTTCAGATGAAGAATAAAAAATTTGACAAGTATTCATCCGTGAAAAAAATCTCAACTTTAATGGTCATTATTTATTTTTATACTGCCGACGATTTTTTAATGCTAAAGAGGGTGGCTTAAATGTTTATCATTCAATAGATCTAGTAACGAGAACCTTCGTAGATGTTTTCGACAACTTTTCTAACACATTTTGTTATTTTCGGATGTAAAAAAAAACAACGTATATTACTTTAAATGTACTCTTTCGGCAAATGGATTCTTACACTCATAATACGTATATCAAGTTTTTATTAGTGTATATAATTGGAGCACATATATCTGGAAGTTACGTCGGCTTGAACGACTGTGAAACTAGATCTTCTTGTACAAGTGACTTTTTCCTCTTGGCGTTTTTCTTTTTCTTTTTATTTTCGAGTGGCATTGTGTCAAAGTTTTCATACTTATAGCATAAAGGAACGGGTTTTTTTTTATTTGTTTCGGTGTTTTAAACAGTGTTAAGAATTAGATTTGTTGTTTGTAGTTAGATTTGCGCTGATACGAAGATGTATCAATTTGGCTACCCGGAGGAAAAGATGCTAAGGTATTTAGATTAGTTATTGCCCCTTAGGCAGCTGTGATTAATTAGTTGATTACTTTTATAAATAGATTGTTTTTTTCTCACTCAATAATCGAGGCCAGTGAATATAAAAATTTGATAATAACGATTAAATAATATTTTTGATAGTTTTTTTTTTTCATTTTGAATTTGTATTAAAAGTACATTCCTTTTAGATATTACAATTCCTTTTTATTTTTATGCCATGGTTTAAAGGCGCCACTGAATTATTTTCTTATATACCTGTACATGTAGCTTAAATTATGTTATGAATGATGCCTTAAAGGCCCATTAAGTGTCAAAAATGCTATTATTTTTATTTCTCATAAGCTTTTTATCTTTGTTTTAAAAAAAAAAATTATTGGCGTCATAACTGAACCTCTGTTGTTTCTCTTGCATATTATTTTGCAATAAGTACCGTGTAGTGATTTAGTATTTTAAATTTGTATAGATTCCTTAGTTAAAATAATCATTTTGTTTACATGTTTCTACCTTAGTACCTTAGAAGTTATTTCACATTCAGCACTATATACTGTATAATATAAGCATGTCACAATGTTCTTAATCAGGTATTACAACATTATAAAACACATATTTATCCCTTTCTTTCAAATGAAAAAAAAAAAAAAATCTCAGGTAAACCTGCCTTTAATTTGAAGAGTAGGAACTGTCTTTTGGTAATAGAATTAATCCACACATTTTTTTTTTCTCTCTCTCAGCTAATCCAGAGGCTGGGGGGGGGGGGGTATACAAACATATAGAACAAGCTAGTGGAACTTTATATTGTGACCAGTTCAGCACTTTGAAGCTGTTACAGCAGTAAAAGTTTTTGTTTTGTACCCCTGGATTAGGTGTGGAAAACCCAATATTTGCTTAGTCTCAAATAACTATTTTTGGGATTTCTTGTTTAAAATATCAACAATTTGTATACAACTGGGTCATGTTGACCTGGATCAATAATGACTTCTAATACTGTGTGGCAGTGTGGCCGATGGGTAACATGTCGGACTAGTAATATAAGGATTGATGGCTGTGTGGGTGCAAACCCCGTCAGGGGCAAGTCGTTGTTTCTGTGACCAAGAAACTTTACACTCATTGCTTAGTACTGGTTGGTTCCAGGAATGGATTCGAGAGTATTTCAATAAGCTTAAAGCTAATACTGTGCTTAAAGTGTCTGCCTCTCAAACCCAGAGATCAAGGGTTTGAGACCTACTTGGGTCATCACCATGTTTCCTCATTTGACACCCAGTCTCGAGGTTACAAAACTTCTTTCTCAGCTCTGTCTTGTCTCATTGTCATAAAACTCAAAGCAACCCCCCCCCCCCCAAAAAAAAAAAAAAAAAAAAAAAAAAAAAACACACACAGCCAAAAAACCATAAAACTTAAGCAAACCCCAACCCATCTCCCACCCCAATCCCCCCCCCAACCCCCCAAATAAAAAAAAAAAACACAAAAAATAAAAACAAAGTAAACAAAACAACACAAAAAAAACAACAAAAAACAACTACAATAAAACAACATGCAAAGCAAAAAGCAAATTATTATTATCATGTTGGATAATTTATTTGGATAAATGTATTTTAAGAGGTGTTTGCTTAAGAGAGGTAAAATTTATTGTGAAGTAAAAAAATAAGAACTCATCTGAAAATTCTTAAAATTCCTTTTATATACCAACATTAAACAGCCGTCTTCAGGGTACTTTTTGTAGTCTTACAAAAGGAAAAATCTATACTCTTTTGAGAGGAGGTCAGTTAACAGAGGGCCATTTTACCAAGGTTCTACTGTATATATATTGTATATTCATTGCTGATATTAATTTAAAGAAATCTCAATTTAGAAATAATAATACAATGTAATAAAATAATAATGAAATTAGGCAACCTTAATAGTATTGAGTGTTTACATGCAAGCTGGGCTGACTTGAAACCTTATAGTCATGTGACGTTTTCATCGGGGATGTCTTTCATATTTTATGTACTGATAATTTGATAATGTTTTGAATTTATTTACCCAGTAGGTGTTTCTGTCAAAACGATTTTAGTAATATTTCCTACTTAATTATATTTTGACACTTTTGTATTTATTGACATTTAATGTTTAGATAATCAAAAGCATCTAACATGGCAGGTTGTCTCTTTTCTAGAGACCTTAATGGAAGGCAAATATAATCAATAATTAGAAACAGCAAATGTAGAAATGTTTTCAAATGTCATTTTTGAGATATTGAAAACTTTATTCAAAATTTAAATTCGGTCAGTTCTTATCTAGAACTCAGAATATATGTTTTTTTCTGGTACAAACAAACTTTTACAGATAGCTTTACAGTGCACTAACGGTCACAATAGATAAGCCCGTAACTATGTTTTGCTTATTTTGGAAGCTGAAACTGTAAAAGTTTTTTTGTTCCCCCATTAGCTGGGAAAGCCAGATGTATTCTTAATTCCAAAATAAGTCTATTGGATGTCTGATCCAGGCTTTTGAATAAAATTAATTGATTATGACATCCTTTGTTAACATTGTTTATATTAAAGGGAATTTTCAATTCTGACATTTCTGAGTATATTTCTATAATAAATCTTTTTTTGAATGTCCTAGTTGATCTATGAAAGAAGGTCAAATTTTATGGTTTTTTTTTGGCTTTTGGACCTCAGTCGAGGTCAGGGCTTCCATTGAGTTCCAAACTTTGGAAGTCAGAGACTGCAAAATGTGTGACATTGGAAATCACATTATATAGGTAAAGAAGGAAAAGCGCTACATTTTTGAAGTTACAAGCTAAATTCAAGGAGTAAATTACTCCCAAAACTCCATTAGTGGAAGCCCTGCAAGTTCCTTTAAAAATGGACATTTTTTAAATAAGGCATAGATGCCTTTAGTTTGACATGTTCAGTATGGAGAGGATTATGTTATTGATGGTGATTGCCGTTTGCCAATCTTATTTATCTAATGTTGATCTATATCTGCAATCCTCATTGTGGCATGTTTGTTGAACCAGTCATGACTCATGGAATATGGTACCTACTTAAAGATGAAGAAAAACAAAGGAAACTGCCAAAACACTCATTATCTTTTTAAATAGTTACCAGCAGCTGACATATATACACTTTATATCACGAGATGCTATGACTATAAGATGTGGTTTCTTGTATAGTTTGTACAGTTTTTATACTAAGAGTTTTCCTTCAAAAGTAGGTCAAACTTTTGCAATTATATAACAGCCGTCTGTTTCTTTTACAATTTCAGATGCATGCCGGAGGAGGCGATTTCAGCCATTGCCTATAACCATCCTCACCCCAACAGTAATGGGTTCAAGATTAACAACCTTCATTTACGGGGTCTTGGATCTCATCTGGGTACGCAGCAGACGACAGTTTCACAGGTCCAGAGCTCACCACCAAACAGTATGTACTGTAACCAGCAGCAGCAACAACAACAACAACAGAGACAAACAAATATGAACACAAGTTTACCATATATGGATAATCATCCAATATTACACACGTAAGTTGTTGGTGTTTTATAAGCTAATTTAACAATGTTGAAGCAACACATTCATTACTAATTTCCACTTTATTTAAAGGCACATTATGTCTCAGAAACAATTAATTTTTCCTTATATAGAAAGGCAAAATTGTCTTTTGTAACATTTAAAAAATTGGGTTTTGCAAATGTTAAATGTTTTTCACTTAAGCAAAGTAGTACAGAAAGTGAAAAGTAGCAAAATGTAAACAAAGTCGTATTTGCAAAATAATAATATAGGTTTAAGATTAAAAATTGATATATATTTTCACTACATGTAATTAATCTATTAAAAATAACAAAGCCCAATAAGTGATATAAAGTGATAAAGAATGGGCTGCTTAATTTAAGAGGGGCAAAGAGAGCATTGGAGATGATGAGCGGCCTGGGCGGGCAAAACAGGCCACTAACGATGAAACTGCGTGCACTGACTGATATCAGTCAGAATTGCCTGAACTGAACCAAAGTTTCATCATTAGTGGCCTCTTTTGGTCGTCAAGAATTATATCGGGCAGAGAACTTTTTGATGATACCTCGTATTTTACATATTCTTGGATGTTTGAAAATTGTTTTAGAAAAATAATTATGTACATAAATGAAACTTCACTTAACTGTTTTTTTACATCCTTAATTACAACATGCAGGATCTTTAAAAATAGAATATCAAATGTTGGGATTATCAATGTGCAGGAGTTATCTCCCCAACAGATATATATATTTATACTATCAGCTAAAACTTACTTTGTTTTTGTCATTATTTTGTCATTATTATAATTACATGTTTTTAGTGTGTTTTCTAATTTTTGAATAGGCTTGGTTTGCTTTTTAACTTTTTTATCTGAAAAGTTACTTAATTGATTACAATTCATAGGTACCTGTATAATATATCAATACACATGATTGTATTTTAATATTTAGTAAGTAGTGTCAACTATTTTATATTCATATTAATTACTCGGTTATATTATTTTTTTTACTTTTTAAAAAAAAGAGTATGAAATCGATAAATTATTAACAATTATTCATAAAAATAATTTATGCTTTAGAAAGAATCGAAACGTCACATCTGATTGATTGATAAAAAGTTTTTTTTTACGACGCAAGTGTAGGGACAAGACGAGTGTCTCTAAAACTATTAATACAGCTTGTCGATGAACGTCAGTTATAATATTCAACAAATATACACGTCGTACCATGTTAAAATTTGTTTAAATCAGATTATAATTATTAGCGAACACATTATTTATGTTAACTACTCTAACCCAAGGCTATTATTTTAAAAGATTCTTATCCGTACTTAACTCCCCTTGTTAAGTGTCGAAAATAAATTAGTCTTTGCAAATTGAACCCAGATTTTGCGTATTACTTTCCTCCAGGGTTATTTATGCATATATTTTTTTTCAACTTTAAAGTACTAATGTATTTGATAAGCAGCTATTGCTTTATTTTAAAATATTTAAATGCTGTCTGTCATAAATTTATTTTCGAAAAAAAATACAACACTTTCTATAAAAAGAAAAGAAAAGTCTTTGCATATGTTGTCATGATTATTATAATTTATTCATATATATTTATTATAATCATACATTAAAATCTTTTTCGTAAAATCTTTTTTCTTGTTATGCTGGGATGCAAAATGTTTCAAAGTTTATTATTGTCACAATCTGTAATTTCTGTGATCACCTTAAAAAGATAATGAGTGTTTTGGTGGTTTCCTTTGTTTTGTTCATCTTTAAGTAGTTACCATATTCCATGAGTCATGAACAGTCTCTGTATGAAGCACTGCTTAGATTTATTCTCGTCCTTACCTAATACAATGCACTGCACGAGGGGCATCTGCAGTTTTCCTTCACAAAAAGGTGGGAAGAGACAGTTTGACCTCTGCGTCTTATGAACGTATCAGTGTCACTTAAAATCCAATGGTTTTGCAGTTACTTAAACCATTGTAATTGTGCTGAATGCATTTTTATTTATTTTCAGAACTCTACCGGACAGTCCACCAGATTCGGAGCCGTACTCCCCACCGGACGGTCATCCTCATACAAATGGACAGACGAACCATCACGTTCACTCTAGCAACCATTCGCTCACAAATAATCATCATAATACTCACCAAGGTTGGTACCAGTTATTTATTATACCGGTCAGAATGGTAGCAATGGGTTGGTACCAGTCATTCAATATACCAGTCAGAATGGTAGCAATGGGTTGGTACCAGTCATTCAATATACCAGTCAGAATGGTAGCAATGGGTTGGTACCAGTCATTCAATATACCAGTCAGAATGGTAGCAGTGGGTTGGTACCAGTCATTCAATATACCAGTCAGAATGGTAGCAATGGGTTGGTACCAGTCATTCAATATACCAGTCAGAATGGTAGCAATGGGTTGGTACAAGTCAGAATGGTAGCAGTGGGTTGGTACCAGTCATTCAATATACCAGTCAGAATGGTAGCAATGGTTGGTACCAGTCATTCAATATACCAGTCAGAATGGTAGCAGTGGGTTGGTACCACTTGTATAAAGGACTGCCTCTGAATCCCTTTAATTGAATGTGACACTGTACATAATTGTATATAAAGGGGTGGATGGTGGCATTGTAACATTTTTGTAATGAAATGACTCAAAATCATCCATCTTCAAGCTATGTCAGGGTCATGACTTGTTCAAACCTGAAAGAAGCACCTCTGAGGTTTGAAAGGCTTTAAGCATAAAATTTTGAATTCTAACATATATCATCTTGGGCACTTCACAGGTTTTCATGGTTTTATCATATTATTTGAGCCGTGTCATGACAAAACCCACATAATGGGTTTGCGACCAGCATGGATCCAGACCAGCCTGCGCATCTGCGCAGTCTGTTCAGGATCCATGCTGTTCGCTAGCAGTTTCTTTACTTGTTATAGAGTCTGTAAGGGAACAGCATGGATCCTGATCAGACTGCGCAGTGCACAGGCTGGTCTGGATCCATGCTGGTCGCAAACCCATTATGTTGGTTTTGTCATAACGTGGCTCATTTATAATTAGTGTCAGGGCAACATCTTTTCTAATTTATCTTCAATCAGTTTTTGTGACAGCTTGTAAACCCTTTGTTTATAATGTCAGTGATAAAAAATAACTACTTTACTGCTTTCCTGTTTTGATTTAAATGTCAACATTTAAAAGGGACTCCACTGAGATTTTTTGACATGACGGGACTGAAAATAATTTTTCAAGATTGATGTTCCATTTGATAGGTTAGACCAAGAACTTGTGTGCAAAATTTCAAATCATTTGCTTACACTGTTTTTCCTAAATACCTATTTAAATTGTGAAAAATGAGCCAAAATTGAAAAGGGTTGCAACACTTTTCGCTCAAAAAGGGCTAAGAATAGCATGACAGTACACTACAATTTTCAATTTATTTCTGAATCTATTTCTTATTTATCATTTTCATATCTTTCTGTTTTAATAAGTGCCCTATGTAAGAAATTCAAATTTTATATTTCTTGTATCTTTAATGATGAGTTTTACTGTAATCAAACTATATCACCAACGGACAGACTGTAATATCTTTCATTATTAACATCTACAGTTTTAATGAAACAAAAAAGAAGAGTGAATTATAATTAATAATATTGAATATATCTCACTTTCATCAAAATATTTCTTATATTTTTCACTTCCATTTTAAGATTTCTTTATGTTTCTCACTTTCATTTGAAGAATTCGTACATTCTTCACTTTCATTTTGAAGAATTCTTGTATTTTTCACTTACATACATAGCAAAATATCTTCTTTATTTCGACCGTCATTTACATATTTTAAAATGTTCGTGTATGTATAGGATTCATTAGTGCAAACAGATTAGTAATTTCATGTTAATCTTGAAATAAAATCTATGAAAAAATGCAGACAAAAAAAAGAGAGGTCGACGCTAAATTAGGACAAAATTCTATAAAAAGGTCATGTGACGTAAGAGATTTTGATATCGCGTGCATTTCTGTTGTCAAAAGTCATTTAAATTGTGTAATAATACATGTAATGTACGACTTTGAAAATAAAGGATTGGTAATCTTAGCGTTGATAATCACCAGACAATGGTAGCAAAGAACTTAAAGTAACTCCACTGAGGTTAAAAAGCATAAAAACACAAAATTTAAATTTCTTACATAGATCAGCTGGGGCACTTAAAAGACTAAAGAAAGATACGCGAAAGATAATTAAGAAAAATACCAAGAAATGAATTGAATTTCATTCAGATTTGAGTAAAAAGCGTTGCAACGCTTTTCAAGTTTGGAGATATTTTCACAATTAGAATAATTATTCTGGAAAAACGGAGTGAGCAAATGATCTGAAATTTTCCACACAAGTTATTGGTCAAGATCTACATCAAATGGAACATTTACGTTGAAAAATTATTTCCAGTCCTGTCATGTCAAAAAAACAACTCAGTTGAGTCCCTTTAAGATAAGTTTTTAAACCCTTAGCCTATTAGCGACAACAGATTCTACCCAGATGACAAGTGCAGACAAAGATCTGCTGGTAGTCATCCATGCTGTCTGATCATGGTCTGCACTATTGACAATTCAGTTAGAAAATATTTCAAATAGATAAATAGTTTTGACGGAATTGAGAGAGTCTGACGGAAAGTCCATTTAAGATATTAATTAAGTGTGGTAAGAGCGTATGATTAACATTGGACAGTAAGATAATGGTATGGTGTTTTTAACTTAATAATAGAAAATATAAATAAATGAATTTTTCTTCTAAATCAAAATGTGGGCCACTATGGTCAAGTGGTTAAGGTTGTTGACTTTGAACTAATTACCCATTATTGCTGTTGGTTCAAATTCTGCAAAGAATTTTTTTTTTATTGGGTAGGGGTTTGGGTGGTTGGGGATGGTATGTTTGTGGGATTATCCATTAAGAGGTTATATGTACCTGAAATAATGTATGGGTAGATACCTGAATTCTTCCTTCACCAGTTATTCTGAGACCTTTATAAGTTTTATTAGGATATATGTCACAGGGTAAGAAAAATGTGCGACCTGACAGTAACTCACCTGACAGTAACTCGAACCCGTGACCATCGGAATACCTTTTCAGGGCTGTACTCACTGACCTATCTAACTGCTTACACATCTTCTCTCCTATATAATGAACTGTTCTAAACTGTGACATACTCCCCTGCTATATAGAAATTCATCCTCGAATTTCTCTGGGTTACAGAGCATTGTAAATTAAACTCTGAACTTCATGCTGTCACTGTCCCCTGTTCCTGGTGCCAAATGTCAAAGTGTGAGAAAAATATGCAGCCTGACAGGGACTTGAACCTGGGACCCTCAGAATACAGTTCTGCGGCTCTACCGACTGAGTTATCCGGCCACTAACACTTCTTCCTTTAATAGTGAACAGTTCTGAACCGTGACATATAACCAAATGCCCTCTCAAAACAATCTTTTATTTATCAACTGAAACTTGAAAGAATTGAAGGAAATGAGAATGGCTAAAAGATAAAACTTTTATGGCAGCTGTGAGCAATTAGCATACTTTTGACTTTGGATCAAAGAAAAACTTCATTTAGATAAGCTCCATTGACCTCTTTGTTTCTAGAAAATTTAATAAAAGAAAATTAAACACATTTGATTCTAGTTTCTTTTTCTTCTTTTGGTTGGGTTTTATAAATAAAATGCATTGACATAATATGGCATGGTGATTCGACTACTTTCCATACTTGGTTGATTTCGCATATATTTCTTGTCCGATATTTAAAACCTTAAAAGGGACAGGCACAGGATCTACACCGTTAGCTACCTTTTTCACTGTGCTAACAAGTCTATTTTTCTACAAAATGAAGTACAAATGTAATTTGATGGATTGATTCAACACTGTTTTTATCGCAATAAGAAAGCGCTAGGGATATAACGAGGGCTCCAGCCGTAAAAAAAATATAACCCCACCAACAAAAGAAAACAAAATTTCGTTAATTGGTTTTTGACTTTTAATTATGAAATTGCACCTGCTTAAATATGCACAGTCGAGGACTCTTCAGTCATTAATTATTAATTACTTATGCATATGATAGAGGTTATATTTCAAAACAATTTAAAAAGAGTGTCGCATTGCGATGTATACATTTACTCCTGTTACTGTCAGAGTATTCAAAATGTCAACACAGTAATGTTGAATGTAGAATATTTTAATATCGGGTAGTCTCGTTTCATAAATAAATAAGAGAAATTTGGTATTAGGCACTGTCAGTGCCCCAAAAAGCCGTTCATCTGATAACGTCAGTATAACTAATGGTGTGTTCGGACCTCACCTGGTACGGACATTTATTCTTAAGCCTCATTATTTACTCATAAAAAGATTTCAAGTTTACTTTTTTTCGCCTTTTCCCATTTCCTTTTCTGTTTATTCTCCCAATTTAATAGTTATAAATAAATCTTAAGATAGCTGTGTAGATTTTTGTATGTTTTCAATTCTATAATGACTTATTGAACATTTTGTTGTTTTTTTTTCCTAATGTAAAGTTCTTATTTTTCTTTTGAGAAGAAATTATTTTTAAGTTTCTATTTGACAGTTCTTTTTTGGTTCATAAGCAGAACTTTCTTTTTGTTTCTAGTCAGTAATTCTATTTGTTTCTTTTTTACAACTTCTTTTTGTTACTTTAAAGCAGTTCTTTTTGTTGGCTGGCTTTTGTTTGTTTCTTTTACAAGTTCTTTTTGTTTCTATTTTTAGTTGGAAGTTCTTTTTAATTTTCTATTTCTAGTTGGAAGTTCTTTTTGTTTCTTTTTAGTAGATTTTTTGTTTGTATTGAACAGTTTTTTTTATTTGATTCAGCAAGGTTAAGTTTGTAAAAGGTCTATTAAAGTGGATACATGTTGTAGGTCTAAAATGGGCACATTTTCCAATAGTATTTTAAATATTGATAAAAACAATAGAAACTGCATCATTTGGATTTTCTTGCTCCTTGAAAAAAATATTTCAGTCCCATCATAAGTCTAAAAAAACCTCAGTGGAGTCCCTTTAAGGTGAAAAACTTTTTACTTTCACAATGTTGAAAAAAACAACTAATAATTTACTTTTTTTTTATCAGTGAGTTCATTAAATTACAAATATGATTGTATTGAA